GTCTCCCAACTTCCTCTCTACCACGGATTTAATTTAACTGTGACTTCTTGTGCTTTGGTCTGTAATAACATGACTGAGTAAGTCTGATTACATGACTTGTCCTCTCTGATTCCCCAGCCACGCCTGCCAGCTCCAGAGCCCAGCTCCTGGGACCCTGCTTGGCACTGAGCCCCTCTCCCACCGCCCAGCCCTTGTGCTCATCTCCCTCTTCTCCTGTTTAATTAATAAATTTCCCATGTGGCTGCACAACAAATGCTTTAATGAAGTCCAGATAACTGATTTTTAGACAAGGGAAATATAGTAATCTTATCAAAGACAGATATTATCAGGTGAGTCTGGCATTTTTATGCCATTTTCCATTTATCTATATTTCTGTTCTCATTTTTGTTTTAAGTCTATTGTGAAAACTTTTCAAAGACACCTGGGCCTGTAGTTGCCTTGACACTATTTCTCTTCTTTTTCCTAAATATAGCTTCTATTTTTCAACTCTTCTGATATTGTTACAGTATAGGATCACTTGAATAGATCTGAATAGCAAAGGTTTTAAATGAATATGTATTTTCCTCTGTTGAGTCTCTCATATTTGAGTTGGAGATTATCTGTTTCTCTTAATTGGAGCATATTTAAACAACAAGTTCTGCTCCCAGACTGCATGAAATAAATTTTCTAAATTGCTGCTCCTATCAGTTATGTCCTGCAAGATTTCTCTTCCTATAAGAATCTGTCCCACCACTAGCACTATGGTAGAAGAATTTATAGGTCTTTCATTTGTGGGGTCATATATATATTATCTGAAATGTTGATGAAATCTCACTTCTAAAAAATTCTTATTTAACTTAAAAAGGCTAGTTCAAAAGCTTTGACATGTCCGAGTTTATTCCAACCCTTCATGAAGTCAAAGAAATATTGTTTATTGGCTAATTTTTTTCTTGTCACTTAGATATTTTCTGTCTACTCTTTACATCTTTAATTTAACATTTCCTCTCTGGGATGCCAATTTTGCATAACTTTGGGACTTCTGAACTCCTTCATATGTCAGTCACATTTTCAGTCCTCTCAGTCCTACTAACCAGCCCCAGAACTTCATATTTGTTCTTTCTAATGCAAAATTACAATGATAACCTGTTTTCGGTCCTGACTTGTTTTTATAACTCAATACAAGTGAATGATAAATTCATCAAGAATGAATCATATGAGCATAGGTTTTGGGCTTTTTAAGCTGGTAGAAATTCAGAAGTTCCTGTTGAACTTTATGAAGACGTGCCCCATTCAGCTGAATGAGAAAAAGCAACAGAGCTTCTGCAGGCTTATGGCTACTTATGCTGAAATGGAATTGCATAATCTGACATGATGGATTTTTTTTCCTAGCTTGCATTGTTGTAAAAACACTTGGATGACTTAAAAATTAAAAGTAAACATTTTTTAACAGAATACAAATGTTGTGTCTCTCATCATGTAGGCAAATTTAGAGCATACTTCACAACAAAGTGCAATAATTAATTCCTGAAACAAAAACTTAATTAATGTTCTAATTTAAAAATCTGATCATGAAATTCTGATACTGTGCTAGAACCTTTTCAGAGAAATATGGAGAAAAAACTTACAAAGAAGACAAACACTTTTTAATTGCCCTTGTTTGACTAAGGGACTAATTTTTATTGTCTTTTGGGAAGTATTTCAGTCCTTAGGATATACAAATAGGTTTGAGGTTGTCCAAAAGTTACATGCACCCATAGCCTCAAAGTATCATTTCTTAAATTGAAGTAGTGATTTAAATTACTCTTGTTTATGCTCGTTGTGATCCTCAAACACTACAGTATCAATATCCTTAATTTAAGCCAATTTTAAATTTCCCCTGAGAATAATTATATGAGGACAGATATTTCTGATCTAAAATTAAATTAGGTAAAATAACTGTTACATTGACTTTCCCTGTACTCAGCTATTTGCAGGGCAGGTGTGCACAAACAATGGGGTATAAACCAGAAATCTTTATAAAATTAAGTGCAATAGGAGAGAAATTATGCTACAAGCCCTGCAGTGTAGCTGTGAGGCTGTGTTGTCATTGCCATACTTCACCTGTGTTACTGTTGTGAAAAGAAACTTGTTGACCAGGGCTCCAGATGCTACTAGAACAAAACTGAAGCAAAAATTCTGCTTAAATCACAGCAAAAGCAAAACTGAGGGGCTTGGATCACAAATATATTGAGTGTTACAGTCCCAGCCACTAAAACTCCATAACTACATTCCAGTTTGAATTTAGAGTTACAAGGTGAGAGTCATGCAGCTTTAGATCATGGCCTGAGATGTATGTTCAGGTTCCCTTTATGGTCAGTCCCTTTCAGAGGTGAAGAAGTGCCTTCGTAGGATGTGTCACCCCATCTTGCTCATGATTCCCATGTTACAGGGAGTGAATCTCTTTTTGGAAGTGATAATCTCTCACCTCTGATAATAGGGATGATATACAGGACTGCCTGAGCACAGATGCTTAGAACAATAAGGCTAGATAAGGTGACACCATCCTGTCACCTATCCATAATTATCCATTTTGAAGCATCTTTATACATGTACATTTAAAAGTTTATAAAATAGGTACTCAGCCTTAACATCCTTATTCAAACACTGTGCCTATATTTTTACCCTGAAAAGTTTAATTAAAAAAAAAATTCACTGCATAGATAACACAGGAAATGGGGCAGAATTCAGTTTCTCCTTTCTCCAAGGTATGAAAATTAAGCTAAAGAGTAAGGATACTGCTTGTACATCCAACTCCATCAGGAATAGGCCAATCTTCCCTCCAGTTTTTCCCCAGATGTTCTGTATTCTGGTAATCTGGGTATTTTTTGCATTAATAGTGTGCAGTGGGGTTTTTTATCACACGAGGGTGTGATAGAAGCTGAAAGTGGCACTGCTACTTGGATGTCACAGTAGTTGCTGTGAACTCCAGCTAGCAGTAGAATGTTAAGAAAGATATAGGCATTAACAATTGCCCTTCTTCTGGGAATGCTTCTTGAATGAAAAAATTGTCAAACTCTTGTTCCTTTAAGAAGTAGACAAAAGTCCCTTCTAGCAGCAAGTAGTGCCATCCCTGCTTTCCAAGAGCTGTGGCATCCATATGGCTGAATGCTGTAGGCAGTCAGCTGCATTGAAAGAAATGGAATGCTATTTTTTTCCCCACTGGAAAGCAGTGGAAGGTTTCCTGCTGGGCCCATGTTGTTTTGGGATCACTGTTTTGGGGTGATTATTCAGTTCATGTGTTATACATGTCTTGGCTCCTAATCTGGGGCTTTTGCAGGCACCCTAACAGCACCTCAATGTTTTGATTCATCTGTATCATGGTTAAACCCCAACCTACACAGTGTCCAGATTTATGGAAGCAGGTGAGTGAAAAATATGCAGAAGGGCAGAAGAAAACTGGGAACTAGATGTAACACTAAGCCAAGCCTTTGAACAGTACAAAAAGCCCAACCAACAAACAAAAACCAACAAACCTCCCCAAACCCCTACGTTTAAATAATAAGCACAAATGGTTTACCTTAAAACCTCCACAGATCAACTCAAAAAGGTGGATCTCCCACATTTTTCAAAATTAAATGCAGATTATAGCAACTGCAGGCAGGGGAAAGGACAACTCAGTGTGAGTGGAAGAGTGAAAACCACATGGAGGTTATGCACATACCAGAATTCAAGAGGGACATGACATTCATAGAGATTGCAAGAATATTTAGCATTATTGCAATTAATGGTGAAAAAGAATCCCTGAGAGAGCATTAAATCTTGTGCTTCAAGGACAGCTTCTAACAAAAAAAATGGCCGAGAGGAAATTTAAGAGGGCAGTGCCAATTACTTCAAGTATTTTCCTACAACAATTCTACATCTTCCCCTGAAGTATCTGATAGTGGCCAGTGTCAGAGATCAGATGCAAGACTGGCAAGAGCTTCTGTCTGCTTAGGCTGGCAAACCCTATAAAGACTGGTTTTTAAAAAGTTGGTGACAGTAGATGTCTACATTCTTTTAATAGTGTATAAATTTAGCATCCTCCTTCTGAATTAAGCATTTAGGTGGCAGAGTTAATGTTATATCAATTCAAATGAAAGACACAGGAGAAAATAGAAAGGGAAAAGATTAATATTTGAAAATTAGAAAGTAATTTTCAGTAACAGAGGTGGACGGCTGGTTGAAAATCACATAAATTAAGACCTACAGAAAAAAAATTCTCCTCATAGAGGAGTCATAAGGAGTGATACAATAATTTACATTTTACAAAAGTGACATTCTCTTAACATTTTTTTCCTTTTCCACTAAAAATTAGATCCCTATAACCACACAATTTGAACTGCTAGCAGTTCAATTGATATTAGTTGATATTGATGAGGTCTGCAGGCACTCAGCATCTCTCTGTAGGTGTTTTTTGTGTTCAACCTGGCCTTTTTTTTCACTGCCAGCAAAGCAACAGAAAATATTGCACTGGCTGAGGGAAGCAGAATTCACTCCTGCTGGCCAGGCACAGTTTAGCAACAGGATTTATACGCATGCAGGGAGAATCTTTTGATTTATTTCGGGTAACAAAGATGTCTTTTTCAGCCATCTCTGTAAATATATAAATATTTGAAAAACACAAGCAAGAGGGAGCCCTGGCTTCTTGAACACATATATCCTTCCAGACCCTTGCCTGACCTCAAAATTATGCTCTCCTGTCACTGACCCATCTAATCACCTTTGTGCTGCTTTCTCAGAAAAGGCCTGGGAAAACCCATCAGATTTGCAATGTTATCTGAAGGTCAACACATTCTCATTTTCTCAGCCAATTCTTTCTTATGACCAAGCCTTAATATCAGGTCACTCAAAAAGCACTACATTTTTTGTAGCTGTTATTTTCAGAATTTCAGATAACATTAAAATGTTGTGTAATTAACCAGTAGTCTTTATATTTGAGTCTAAGGATAATTAGAACAATAATTTTTGCAGAATAACACAAGAAGTTCCTTTTTGTTTCACAGAAAAGAAGAAATATTGGCATCGTCTGACGGTGGCACATGGAATAACTCAAGGACTTCAGGTACAGCACCCGGTTTAATTAGTTCTTCCTTACTGCACATGTTAATTAAAAATAGTGTAACAACCAACATCATGGAAATTATTCAACTGTTTTTTTAACTCTTCAGACACAAACATCCCAGAAATTGTTTGTTCACAAGCAGAAGACAAAGACAAGAAACTAGCTAAAGAAAATATAAAAGACAAAATTGCAGAATACAACCAGGGTGATCACAAAGATGATGAAAAAGAATTAGAGTTGCTGGTAAGTGTTATACAATTATATCTACAGTATTAAATGATTTGAATCCATTTACGCTTCAAAGCTGGTGAAATGCCCCCTTTTAACAGCGCTGACTGATGTACTAATTTACAAATGTAAAGCCTTGGTCTGTACTTACACTGAATCTCTAACTGATTCAACAATAGAAGGTGCTTTGATTTCGGTATAGTGCATCAACTTTTTCTGGTCTTAAATTAATGACATATCCCTTTTACTTCTTTACCTGAGGCTCTAAAAGACAGTTCTAAGGAATTAGAAGGGTAACATTTAAAAAAATCTTCCCTCCTCTTCTCTAGGATGGGAATATTTTTAAATATATGCTTTCTATTTATATTTTTTTTATATTTATAGTACTGTTTACTTATGAGATTTTTGAAATTATAACAATATGAGCATAGTAAGTATATATATATTTATATTAGCAGATTCTTCTGTATCAGTATCTTACATTATTTTTTCCCAATGAATTTCACACTCGGTGAACATTCAATCTATTTGGATTTGTGCGCACGCATGTGTGTGTGTGGTTTGCCTTGCATTTTTCAGTATGAAAGAAAAAATGGCAATAAATGAGACACATACAGCAATCTATTATTCCCAGTGTCTATTCTCAGCTCATATCATTTGGGTGCACAGATTCATAATCATAGATTATAATAGCTATCACCTGTGAAAATGTGAATGCTGAATCAGATAAGAGAGGAAGATGGGAACCATTCTTTTTTTTCTTGTTGATAGAGAAAAAAAATTCCTCTCATTTGAATATAACATCTTCTTGTCTTTTACTTTAAAAAGTTGAAAATTGTTGCCTATTGTGGGACCTTTCACTGCCTGTAAGTCAACGTTTTGGTTCTTTTTTCTTTATGGCGAAATGTGCAAAGGAAGACCTCTAAATCCCTTGTTGTTCTCAGTCCACCCTTTTACAAAAAAGTGGATCAAATATAACCATTTGTTTATCAATTGCCAGACTTGTCCGTACAATAAATGAAGGGGGAGCTATAATTTAGATGTTAATTTGCACTGTGCGCTCTTTAATGAATTAAACAATGAAGGCTTATAATACATGGAAATAAAACCAAATCTTTGAAACACACAGGCATTGGCTCACAAGACAGCTGTGCAGTTGACAAGTAACATGAGCCTTATGTGAGAAGAAGGGGAAATCGTAAGATTTGCATATAATTATTGAGATCATGCAAATGTCAGTTATGAGGAGGGGAAAAAAACACAGGCATCTCACTGTTAAATCCTGACAGTTGGCATCACCGAAGAACTCAAATACACTTGAGCACTGGTTGGCAGAGGGTCATTAAAACAGAATTTGCAGAGACATTAGCTCCCTCACTTTTCTTTGAGTGACGTTTTACTATTAATAGTTTGCAGAGGCTTTGCAGAAAACATATTAATAAGAGAAACTGTAATGGGGGTATCTACAGCAAGTGCAAATGTATAAAGGGGTGCCCAAGAAGCTAGCCTCTAATTGATCAGCCAGTGCTATCAGTGTGACTGCTAAAGTGAGAAGAGAGTGCAGTGACAAGCAGGCATAGCTGAATAATACAATATGATATTTGGGAGCTAGGAGGGAGAATGATTAGTTTCTGGCCTTTTACTTTGCTAATCTCATTTCCACCTCATGTCTTACCAGATTGTCTAAAAACAGTCTGGTTTGAAGCCTGTAAAATGGTCCCTGAGAGAAATGAAGCACAGATAATCCTTACAGTATTTGTCAGTGTGAAATGTGTCTTTGTTTTACTGGACAATACTGTACATTACCGGACACTGATGTACTGTATCAATGCCCTTGTTTAAGCACCAGTCCTCCCCCCTCATCCCATGGCTTCCTCTGTCCAAATCTAGAATCAAATGCATAGTGAACAAATTAGCCTGCCTTTAAGGAAATATTCTCTTCAGATTTAATTTGTATAAAATCCACTAGCAGCTTACTGAACTCATGAATAAAGAGAGAGGGTTCTGAACACTATTTTATTTCCTGCTCCTTTCAGCACCACCATAAAGCTCATTACCTATGATAAAAAATACATGCAATGCAAATTTTGCAAATGGTTTGGAACATGTTTCCATGAAAGCTTTGTTACTGAAAACAAAACTTCCCATAATGAAATCCTGCCTCCTTCATTCGGCATATTTTTGCAAAGCACTTTTTCATCATTCTTTTCTATTCTATTGTTTCAGTTAAATCAGCACTTCACAGGAGCTAGAGGTACCTCTTCCAGAGATGAAAGGAATTTTTATACAACAAAACCAATTAATTTTCCAAGTGAAACTGAAAGATTGGTGAAAAATCCAACCTGTACAGAAAGAAGCAGTGACTTGCACCCCGTGCCTATCGGTTCCTCATCTGAAAACACTTCACATGCGATAGGAGAAGAATTAAAAGATAAAGCTAAGTATTCTGTAAAAGATTATAGTAATCAGCTACCAGGGAAGGAAGTCACTGCTGGCTCAGTAAACAGCTATGGGCGGTCTTTGGAACATACTGGTACCAGTGAAAGCCTTTTATCGGCAAAACATTTTCCTCTGACAAAGCAGAATGAGGCTATCAATGTTATGGCTACTGGCTCAAGCCGACAAGGAGAGAGGCACACAGATATTTCAAAAGGTGAAATAGATAGCTCCTCGGGAAGTAAGATGGTGGAGAGGCTATTCATCAGTGAGGATGCTGCTGGTACCTCAGAAGGGGCCTGTGAAATGACACCAGAAACCATTTCACCAGAGCATGACAAATCCATGCAATTAAATGCACACATAGCAAGGACGCTGGATGGCAATGCTAATCCGGCTCTGGAACACCAGGCATCACAAATGTCTCACCAAACTTTGGATTCATTGTCGTCAGATGCTGACAAAAATGAAGGAAAAATCAAGATGATTGAAAGCGAAGTTCAGGTACACTTAAGCGAAGATTTGTATTCCGGCACTTTTGCACATGCTGGTGTCTCAACAGATTCCACACGAAAAAAAGGAGTTAGTGAAATGTCAGAAAGAAACACTGATTTAGGGAAGCAGAAGAAAGTCATTGAAGTCGCAGACTTGACATCAATAGGTGAGGAGGAAGCTTCCAAGCCTTTCAAGGCACACAGGAAACACAACGCCAAAGCCCTGAACCCAGCACCTCTGCCAGCTGAGAACAAGCAGGCACCCAGGGCCACCAGGGTGGATGAAAAGCGACCTGAGGACACTCAGGAACACAGAGGATTCAGGAGATTAAAAGACAGAGAGACAGACAACACAAATAAAGGGAGACCAATCGGAAGGGAAAGCGAAGCAAACTTTGCAGAGCAGAGGTGGCAAGGAACGGGGAGTGAGGTTTGGCGGAGAGTGGGGGGGAGCGTGGAACCTCAGACCGTGACTTCCACAAAGGAGCTGTTTACCTGCCAGGAGGCAGAGAGTTGTGAAAAGTCTTCTGTCTCTGAGCAGGGTATTACAGAGAAAGCAGAGGCAGGTACAGCTTATATAATTAAAACAACATCAGAAAGTGCTCCAGAAAAAATGCCTGGCAGTGAAAAAGCAGTAATTGCTAAGCTACCTCGAGAGACTGCACTAAGTGACAGGCCCACAGAGGAAAAGGAAACAGCGTTTGATACACATGAAGGGAGAAATGATGGTTCACATTATGCTCTTTGTCAACTCAACACAGTGGGTGTATTATATGACACTGAATTTGAAAAGGAATCAGTTTTAGGTATTTATAATGCAGGCGTACATGAAACACTGCAAGGAGAAACGAAGTCTGTCTGCAATAGCAAGGAAAAATGTGCCAAAGCACAAGCAGACAATATTCTACCTGTAGGACAAGCAGTAAAGGCTTCTGCTATGGGAAGGAAAGATTTACAGGAGGGTTCACATTCAGAAATACCTAAAAGCCCCCTGAGCACTCAGAAGCATCTATACCATGAGAAAGCAGAAGAGCTCTACAGGGCAGAAAGCCATGGTGATACACTTGCCTGTTTCTGTTCTAAAGCTGAAACAAAAATGCCACCTTCTGGTACAAATATTGTGCCTAGTTACCATTATAAAAGCTCTTCAGTGCCATCTTCAGAAGGGCCCACTCTGGAAGAAGGCATGGGGCACCTATATAGACACTTTGAATCCAATGTCATTGACAAGGTTGCTGCTGAGTCAGGGTACAATTTAAATCTAACAAATGAAATAACATGTCTTAACAAAAGCTTCTCTCCTGAAGTTGAAAAAGGAGAAGTACCTTCTGCTTCAGACTCAGCAACTTCTGGAGAAGGAAGAGGAAGGAATACAGGTCAATTTTTCCATCATGCAGAGCTCCAACAAGAGAGGTTATGGAGGCCAGAAGTTTTAATTAGTAAGTCTACCAAAGAAAATGGGGGAACAGACTCAGACTCTCCAGCTGACCATTTAATAACAGGGGGGAAAACAGTAAACTGGCTTGACGACTCAAAGAAAGAAAGCCAACACGCTTCTGATTCTGCAGATATTTCTAACCAGAAGAGTGAAGCCTGTAAATTACCTAGCGAGTCTCCACGTTTAAAACATATTGCTTTCAAAATATTCTGTTTCTTCTTGTTTCTTCTATTTGCTGCAACACTCTACCACTATGATTTGATGGTCTGCCTTGCACTCTACCTGTTCTCCTTGTATTGGCTATACCATGAAGGAAGAAGAAACAAGGAGTCTATTAAGAAGGAATAACACTGACTGTCAGCTCTGCTCAGGATCCATAGTCAATAATCTTCAATTCCACCAAAGCATTTTCACTGTTAAAGAGTTTATTCTTTGTTAGAACCAAAGCAAGATTTTCGCAGCAGCATCTTTTATTAAGAGATTACATATGAAGTTGAGCCTTCATATAAGTAATTAAACTATGCAGGACCATTATGTTTGGATCATTAAATACCTATATGAGTATGAGTTCTGAAGCACATCAAGTTAAAATGAAGTACAGCTGTTGCTTCTTAGCAAGATATGAAAAAGCAATGCTTCACATTTCTGTAGTACTTAAACCCACCATTTACTTGCTTTAATTTCTTTTGCATTAAAGCTTCATATTTTTCTGGGAATTTTTTCCCAAGATTCTGTGTGGTACATAACAACACGAAACAATATAAAACCTAAGTCAGTATTTTGGTGCTGACATTGCAGTTGATAATATGCTAGTGTAATTAGCCAATGCTCTAAGCAATGCATCTGTTGATAGTTTAATACAATTTTCCAAATTTTTATTTAATTATTTCGACTTAGAGCTTCAGCAGCACTCCCATTTGAAAAATGTAAGGCTTTGACTTCATTAACATCATGTAACTTCCAGGATGTAACTGCGTAGCAGAATAGATGTGCTGTTTCCACCCTGTAAAGATTGAAGGTCACAGCCACAGGCCTCTTACTGATCACTCACATGCACAAAAGTTTTTGGGTTTTGCAAATGAGGACAGAGCAACATGATTGAGAATTTTACTGAACTTTTATTCTGGGCAAAGCCTTTGAGGGATATTTTTCATCAGAATTGCTTGAGCATATCTACAAAGCATTAAATAAATTTTACAAAGGAATGCTATAACTGTGTGGAGCATGTCTGAATTAGATTTACTGCTTTTTTTCCTATGGCTCGCGACCTAGAGCTAACCAAACACCAAGAGAAAACACTGGGCATGACCCTGCTCTTCAGTGAGGCTGCTTTGTCTGGCTTGGGTGAGGCAGAAAAGACTAGAATCTGCCCTAGGGAGAGCCCAAATTGATCTTGTGCAGCAGTCCTGTGGGGCAGACACATGGGCAGCTTTGCTGCTCCAACACTGCAAGTGTCCCACACAAGATCAAGCCCAAATTTGTCCAGAAAGAAAGGAACGGCCAGGTTATGATGCTCTTCAGCCATTTCCCAGAAGATGGCCACAGATGCTACCACAGGTAGGATATTAAAAGAAGCACCAAGATTGCATAATGTTGCTGAAGCCATAAAAATTAAGAACTAAAAAAGAGATGTTTTAAAGCTCTGTTTGTTTCACTTTCCTTACTGCCACTGTGAAATACCAGAACTGTGAAAGTCTTGGTTGCAATATATGGCTGAAGCAATGTAATAGCAAAATTATTTCATTGTTAACTTAGCTTTTAAATAAATGTTTTAAAGTCCATGTAAAACTTATTCACACGTTTCAGGATGATAGGGCACTCTGCTACAGGAGGCACCTTGGCATTCCTGTTCTGCTGGGGGGAAAAACTTCCAAACATTTTCACTTAGTAGTGCGTTCAGTGGGGTGAGCAAGTATGTGTGTGATCCACTGCTGATTTGTGTTTTGATGGCTGGATACCTCGAAAACTTATGACAGCAATCTATGAACGAGTTATAGCGATGGACTAGAGGCACTAAGGAGCTACATGGAAGGCTGTGTCCAGATGTTCAAAGGTATATATGAGGAAAATATTCATTGAGATAAAGAAATTAATTCAATAGGCATTAGGAGATGAATCCAATAAAAAGCTTAGGCTTAGACATAAAGCAGGATTGAAGTTAAATCAAAGTAAGTCCAAAGTAATGATTGCAGACCTTCCTTTATCTGGAGACAACAAATGCTGAAAGAACCTATCGTTTTCATGATGCTTATACATCTTCAAAAGTCACAACATTGCCATACTTCTGGTAGTTCATTTCCCACAGTATGACAAGTCCCTGGTCTTAGTGGATCAGATTTTCAGCTGGACTGGGATAGAGACATCAGGTATTGCTTTACTTCCCAGTATGGTGGAAACTCTGAAATAACATCTAGTATATTCTGACAGATAGAGGGATAAAAAGTGGAGAAAGCATCTTGCACCTACCTGTCCTGTTGAAAGTGTCACAATGCAGTCAAGTATCAGATTCCTCAAGTGAGAGAAATCAAAGACATTGGACCCATTTCAATCTTACAGTTAAAACAACCATGGCAGAAATTAGAATCTTTATATTCAGTTAGCTGTTAAAAGTCCCTACAATCTAATTTACCACACAGCTCTTTAAAGCGAAGTTAATAAACTTCAGAGCAAGGACCAAAGTTCAGGTTCCTGACCAGTTATGTAAAAGCTCTACACACTAAGCCACAGTATTCAAACCCATGTTTGAATATCTTCAACTTTACCAAACCCAGGCCTTTCATCCTGCAAAATTTAGTTTACCATTGGAGGAGTATTGTTGTGAGGAAGGTCATCAGGGTTTGGCAGTACCACTGTACATAGATGGGTTCCTACGTTCTCAACTGACTTAAACTGAACACAATAATAGGTTATTTTTATTTCCCCATCTGAGGGTAGAGACTCATTTGATACTCCCAACACAGAGGATTTGTTGGGGGTTTTTTTCCAGAACTTGTAATATCCATTTTTTATAGAGGTCTTAATCTGACACAGTCTAAATTCCTAAGCAGTGACATAGCTAAAGAACTTTAAATAAGGCATTGTCTTGGACACATGCCTTATTTTAAGCAGAGCTGAACTATTCAGTCAGCATGGAGGTAGAAAAGCCTGGTTTTGTTTTTGTATTGAATCTTGGGGATTCTAAGTGGTGTGTGTTTTAAGGATCCTTTTGCTTCTTCACATGGAAGCATAGATAACCTCGAACCATAGTAGAACCATACATTTGTGTGGTAGTTGCCTGTATGTAATCTGCAAGGTGAAAATTTTGTTTCTCCTGCATTTCAACCCAAAATATTTGATTCATTGTCAAAGGCTCAGCTCAGCTGATTGGAGAGCAAGAAAATGGGTTAGGGATGATTGATGGGCCCAGGACCATGGATGGAGGAAAGTAAATGAATTGAATCAGTCTCAGACAAAAAAATGTTACAGAGAGCTCAAGAGAGACAATATGACCTGAAAAAAATGCAAGGGATAAATAAAGAGAATCTATTAATACAGACCTTCATTAAAAATTAGTGGGCTTTTAATATGTGTCACAATATATTTTTAACAATTCCTAAATATCAGCTAACATGTGGCTAAATTACTTCAGTCTCTACAGAAATTGTGCTTTAAACAGCTGTATTCCTGTATCCAACAGGTTAAACATTAGAGTTTGCCATTTTAACACATACAGTCATTCAGAGCTGGAATTTAGGGTAAACATTTGAGTGTTAGAGTAAGCATATTTCATCTACACACAAGTGGAATACTGTTAGCATTTCTCAGATTTGGATTGGGATTTTATGTTCTATATTTAAAATATTTAATCAGGATATCATACCTTGTGATTGCAAAACAGGACTCTAGACTGATCTGTGAACACAGGTGCCCGAACTTTAAAGTATGAATGTGCTTAAAACAACAAAGCAAGTAATTTTATCTTTTTTTATTTATCATTTGATAAGCTATCTTTTAAAAATCCTCTTACTTTTGTTTCTAGTATGGAAGAAACACCTTTATAACATTGGCAAAATATTGTTTTTTACTTCAGGGAATAAGTGGTGTGTTGTGCTCTTGCAATGATTCATAATAAGCTTGCCTACAAGGTAGCAGTAACATATTTCTAGTTAATACTTTAATTTCTAGTAGTTTCTAGTTATTTCTTCAAGCAATGCAACAGAAAGGTGTGATGCTATATGGTAGAGTAATCCTGAGCTCACAAAGGGTTCAACTCTAGTAAAATATAGTGATTAAAAAAAACATAATTGCAAAAGACTTTCTTGCATTATTGCAAGGTATATGAGGTGTGGCTCATATATTCCATATCATGGGAGGTATGTCCCATGGCTATTATCCAAACTGCACATGTAACAAATAAATTAATTTCGATATTGCCGCATGTCTAATCTGTTGAATTGGCTTAAATATAAATTCAGGCCAGAAGAGAGAGGAGTGAGAAGAATTTCTGCATTCAGATTCGTTCTGCTTGGAGGCAGTCAGAACAAGATACATCATTAATGACCTAAGCACTTGTTGTTGCTAATTTCTTGCTGGTTCTTTTCAATCAGTGACTTTTGGCTCAACAGAGGACAGGCTCTGAAACAAGCTACAGCCTTTAAAGGCCTAGTTAATACTGGAAAAGAAAAAATAAAGAGGACAGAGTATGAACTAGATCCTTAAAGGAAGGTTAATAAGAAAATATTCTGAGTCACTATACTAAATTTTATATGCCCAGTGGTATCTACACCCCTGAACAAAACACCTAAACTCTCTAGTCATTGAACATATGAATGAGAATCAAAACAGACAATGTGTTAAATATGGATCTGCCACAGTTTTCTAATAAAAACCCCTCATGGCAGAGTTAGGTCTTACACGCATGCCCTGCCAGCGGGATTTAGTTGCTGAATGGCAGGGACATGCTTTTATCAGGTCACGTTCCATATTCTGCAGAACTCTCATGCACTGATATGCCTAAACAGCTGCCTTCAGAAAAAGGACTTTTTGCAGAAACAAACAGAGTTTTGTGACTGGAGAAAGAGAAAGTTTAAATCCTTAAGCCATAGATTTGGGATATTTGGATATAAACTTTGTCCCAAAAATAACTCATGCATTTTATGTGAAATTCTATTTAGATAAAATACAAAACCAATAACAAGACCTTTACATATGTTCAGTGAGGTTTACTTCTTCCTTAGACTATAAATTTACTTTTCCAGGCCTACATCATTGCCTCATGAACCAGGAGTGGGAAATTGTTTTAGCCATGAACTATGAATTTCTCTCCTAGACCTACAAAGGTGCTTCCATCCCAGCACAGTTCCACTTCAGGCAATCATGCCCTTTTGTGACTCCCAGCAGAGCTTTCTAACACTCGCAGCTCCTCTGAGAGCACTGTCTGCAAAAGCGACCTTAGAGCTATAGGGATAATGGCAGATCAGGAAGACATTCTTGTTGTAGTGTGTTGTTAAGTTTCTTGTGTTATTTCCCCAATTTATGTATTGTTCTCCCCTATTATGTGTAAAATGGTTTTGTTCCCCCAGTTTTTCCCGCCACTGCTACCCTGTCAGCTAAGTTGCTATAGTAACCTCGCTATTCATAGTTGCCCATACGTAATTGCTCCTCCCCTGGTTTCCCTTATAAGTGAAAGTTGTCTCCTCCCTGGACCCAGTCAATCACCCCCTTCTCCTCCCAGGTTTCAAGAACCTTCTCCTCTCTGGAGGTGGTGGCTGGCTGGGATCCCAGGACACCTCTCTTACCTTTTGATTATTGGTCTCCATGGAGTGTCAGTTCTGTGAAGTTCATCCCCTCACCTTTCCCGATTGGTTCCGCCTGCACCCACCCCCCTCCTTTTTAATCCTGTTTCACCCCCTATTGAAAAACTTTTCCCGGTTGGTTTCCCCGCATTTGCATCCCGCAACACCTTCAATAAAGCGACGTTTAACCCCCGGTGAAGTGGTCAGCTCCGTTCCTCCCCAATACCAGCGGTGTAAGCCAGTCCGCAGCCAGCGAAGCCCAAGGCCATCAGA